ATATACGTAGGCCTTTCTATAGTCAATTGATGTAGACCTCTCGATGTAGTGTCGACATAGATTTTGTGTAGACATATCTATGTAGGTCTACAATTGCTGAATCTATGTTGGATCTACATCGACTTTCCTATGTCTAATAGATGTAGGTCGCCCAACGTAGTATTGAGATCAAATTTGGGTAGGTCTTTCTATGTAGGCCTACAATTTCTGAATCTATGTAGGATCTACATCGACATACCTATATCTAACAGATATAGGTCACCCAACGTAGTATTGGGGTGATATTTGGGTAGGTCTTTCTATGTAGGCCTACAATTTCTGAATCTATGTAGTATCTACATCGACTTTCCTATGTCTAATAGATGTAGGTCGCCCAACGTAGTATTGAGATAAAATTTGGGTAGGTCTTTCTATGTAGGCCTACAATTTCTGAATCTATGTAGGATCTACATCGACATACCTATGTCTAACAGATATAGGTCACCCAACGTAGTATTGGGGTGATATTTGGGTAGGTCTTTCTATGTAGGCCTACAATTTCTGAATCTATGTAGGATCCACATCGACTTTCCTATGTCTAATAAATGTAGGTCGCCCAACGTAGTATTGAGATAAAATTTGGGTAGGTCTTTCTATGTAGGCCTACAATTTCTGAATCTATGTAGGATCTACATCGACATACCTATGTCTAACAGATATAGGTCACCCAACGTAGTATTGGGGTGATATTTGGGTAGGTCTTTCTATGTAGGCCTACAATTTCTGAATCTATGTAGGATCTACATCGACATTCCTATGTCTAACAGATATAGGTCACCCAACGTAGTATTGGGGTGATATTTAGGTAGGTCTTTCTATGTAGGCCTACAATTTCTGAATCTATGTAGGATCTACATCGACATTCCTATGTCTAACAGATATAGGTCACCCAACGTAGTATTGGGGTGATATTTAGGTAGGTTTTTCTATGTAGGCCTACAATTTCTGAATCTATGTAGGATCTACATCGACATTCCTATGTCTAACAGATATAGGTCACCCAACGTAGTATTGGGGTAAGTTATGGGTAGGTCTTTCTATGTATATGAAATTTATGTAGGATCTACATTAGTATTTGTACATAGGAAAGATATAGGCCACCCAACATAATGTTGAGGTAAGTTTTGAATAGGCTTTTCTATGCAGGCATTTAATTTTTGAATCTAGGTAGGATCTTCATCTGCATTCATATGTAGGAAATATACAAGACAACCGACGTAATATCGATATAAGTTATGAGCAGGCCTTTCTATATGTAGGTCTACAGATGTTATATTTATATAGGATATACAAAGACTTTTAAATGAAAAGAATGATTGAAAATAAAACAAGCTATTTGTCTGTTAATGAAAGATATTTTTATCCTAAATTTTATTACAAAGTTTTGACTGTCAAAAAGTTAGAAATATGTTTTTAACTAGATCAGCATTATATTATATTATATTATATTATATTATATTATATTATATTATATTATATTATATTATATTATATTATATTATATTATATTATATTATATTATATTATATTATATTATATTATATTATATTATATTATATTATATTATATTATATTATATTATATTATATTATATTATATTATATTATATTATATTATATTATATTATATTATATTATATTATATTATATTATATTATATTATATTATATTATATTATATTATATTATATTATATTATATTATATTATATTATATTATATTATATTATATTATAATATATTATATTATATTATATTATTCTAAAATTTTTAATTTATTTAAAAATAACTGTAAGTTTTTAAAAAATAATTATTTATCGAAAATCATTCATACTTAGAATTGTAATGTAAGATCGTATAAGTTTTTCTTTTAAACTGTTTATATATTGAGACGGCAAGACAGGACGGCGGACAGCTATCAAATTTTGTAAACCATTTTTGAACAAAGACTATTGCAGTAGTATTAGGCTTATGTAAGTCAGTTTTCTCTGGCTCTCTGATTTCCATTTTAGCCTTAATCGATCAAGCAAAGAGTAAAAATTACATGCATCTTCCAAGTGCGAATTTAATAAAAGCAGAAGTTAAAATATAATATTGTTTCTTATTCTATTTTATACCTTTAATCCTAATAATAACAATTATATTGTAAACAATTAAAAAATTAAATTTGTTAATTTTATTGTAAATGGTAAATATTTTTTCTCTAAAGGCAAAAATATAAAATATTTAAAGTATTTTCTTATTTTCAAGAGTTTGTCACATCTGGTTTATTTTGGTTGACCATCTCTAAGGGTTCCTCATTGTAAGAGGGTCTTTTTATAGCTTTTCCAGTTATCTTTTTTTCTTATAGATTTACTTAGACAAAAACTTAGAAATTTTTCAGATTGAAATATACAGAGCAAATGTTCAGAAACTTCAAATATTTTCTGTAAAATCTTTTTCCGAAGGTCTTTCGAGCGTCAGTTGCTCTTTAGCATTCGTTTGAAAGAGTCTAAAACCGCATGTGATAAAATTATTTTGAAGTTAATATTTTGTTGTGAAGTGAGTTTTTTCGTGAATTGTTATATTAAAATGGATATTTTTAAGTGAACAATTTGTAAAGTGAATTGTTTAAGTGTTCTTGTGTTATAAAAAGTTTTAAAGGACTGATATATATTTTAATTATATTTTGTGAAAATTATTAATTTCATTTATTCAATAAATTAAAACAATGTATGTGTCTGAAATAATTATAATTAAATTAAATAGGTATAATAACTACTTATATAATTTATAATTAAAATTGTTAAAGAATAGTAGACTGAATAACTGAAACTGCTGTATAAAAGTCTCTCTTTTTTGTTTTTAATGGCAATCAATGTAATTTGATTATCTGTTTGCAGTTTTGAGATAAATTAGTTTAATTTCTAAATATAATTTACCTTTTGAATTTTGATAAGAATGAACGAATTGTTATGATAATAGATTAGTGATATGAATTAACATAATTTATAAAATAGAAGTTATTTAATAGTTCAGCATTTGTTTTTTTAGTCATTATTCAAATAATTAGATAATTGTAGTAATAATCAATATACGCAGAAGCAAGAGTTAATGGTTGAAGATCATTCACCGAAGCAGGGTCCTTCAGCAAAATGGGATCTTCCAATACTTCAGGTTTTAAATACTAAGATTTGTCACTATCATTCCTTGTGGACGGACCTGGTTGAGGATCATTCACCGTGAAAGGCTTTTTTAACAAATAATTTATGTCCTGCACATATACCCTTGGCTGAAGATTTAAAGTGTTAAGAAAAGCCAAATTGGTTGACAAGTCCAGTGGTTGATCATCAATCGATTGTTTCTGTTCCGACGACATAAACTCTAGAAAACTATTAATCCAGACCATGGTGTCAACCACCTTCTTTTTTGAAGGCCTAGGTTGCTCTAAATCAAACAGAAGAAGAAAAAGTAAAGCAACAAAAAAGAAAAACTTATGTTAAATAAGGAGACTAACTAAGTACCTGTCAAATCCAACTTCCTTTTATTGGACACAGGCATGTCCTGACATTCTCCACAAAAACAATCATTAGGGCGATCAACACGACTCTAAAAGAATATATATATATAAATAAATAAAAATGAAAAACAAACCAAACAAATAGGAGAAGACAAAGAAATAGATTATAATAATACTTACAAAAATTGATTCAACATCGCTGTCATTTTCTCCGAATCTCTCAACACCTCGATTTTGAAACGCTTGATTTCCAGATGACGAATTTTCGCATCCAATTTCATCTCAGATTGTGATCCTTTCTTGGGCCGGCCAGGACGCCCTTTTGCTTCATGACACTCTAGTTCCACAGAAGAGTAATAGAGAGATGCCGCCAATGATTGCAGCAATTGCAAGAAGTTAAACATATTCATCTTACAACTTCGTTCACCAGACACTAAATAAAGAAATTAACAATACAATAAAGATGATTAATTTCAACGAAAGAACTTATAAAACACGTATAAAATTCGAAATCATACTTATAATCCTTACTCTTGATGCGAACTTATGGAACACTTATAGCACTTCTTACACTTTTGATTGTATATCTACTCTTCTTCTCGAGAAGTCAAACACTAAAGACGTCCTGGTACTATCATCGCTTATAGGGATGCAAAATGCTGTTGTCAACAACTTTGCATGAGAAACAAAGGGTCAACGACTGTCATGTGAAAGAAGAAATCCATACCTACCTCAAGAAGATGATTAGAATACACAAACGACACATATCAAAACACAAACAAACACATCAAATTATCACTTCGCCGTTCTTATCTGCGCGTCGCCAAATGTAAGAAGAGCGCAAGGATATCAATATCACTGACAACACTGTATGTGATTCGTAATTAGGACAACAAAACATAGTCTCAAATTCAGAATTTTTAAGTCTCGATAGTACTATCTCAACGATAAGCTTTAAAATTTCATCGGAACGATGAAAGATTTAAGGGGGGAGGACTGTTACATCCCAAATGCACGATATATGTTTTTCTTTTGATAATTTTGTTTTGTGCTATAAAAGAGTTGAAATTTTGAATTAGAGATAGAAATTATAAATTAAGACTCTGTTAATTATTTTTCTCAGTATAAAAAGAAAGAAAAAACAAAGCAAGAGATAAAAGTTGACTAAAAGTAGAGAACAATGCAGCGTATAAGAAATGATTCATGTAAGCTCGAACTCATATGCTATGACCTCTTTTTCACAACCTGAGTTCTATGAATCATTGTTTGTAACCCAAGCTTCACTTTTTCATGTATGAAGTAAACATTTAGGTCAATCGTCGAAAAATCGCATTCTCTCTTCAAAATAGCTTATAAATAGAATTAAAATGAACAACTGAATTCTTAGAAGACAACACGCTTTACCCCCATAATTGTATATGAATTTTCCCATTTTTTAATAATTGTAGAGTATTGTAACGCGGCATTTTATTCGCCGCGTACAAATTAATAAATTTTGTCAATAATTGAATTCTAATCTTTTCTTATTCACGTCAAATCGAGAATCAACATTTATTTTCTCCTTCCGAGAATTATTCTCTTATTTATCCACTTTCGCAAAATGCATAGTTTCAAACCTGTAAAATAGCGAACCGTCAGATCGCTGGTCAACACAATTATTGTAAACATAAGAAAACTGATACTTCGATATTCTTTCATGTAAAACTTAACACCGCGAGTTCTTGACTTCTCATCGCCCGGATTACTGCCGAGATATTGCTCCGTATTCGTCCAACATGGGAAATGTTTCCTTACTTATTACTGGAAATAAATGCTGGTCATATTAATTGGCAGTAAAACTAATATCCATCGGCGAGGACATCAGCTGTCATAACACTGGCCGCAGCCATCTTGCGAACCAGTCGTCGTCGTGCAGTGCCCCTCGCGGAGACTAAGCGAACTTTTATGAACTCTTCTCGACAGTCGGTAATTTACCTAATTACTGACTGTTGCGCATCGATTACCATCGGAAAATCTATGTAACAAGTGCGCGTGGGACTCACCACGAAGTGGAGATGCGCGTCGACTTAGGCGTCCCCGTCGGCCATTTAATTGATTCTCGTTTTTGTCGTTGTATTGACAGGTCGCAGTAGACCACGTTCTTATAATAATTAAAATTTTATCTAATTGTGCACTCTTTCCTGGTGATAATGAGCCGTGGGACAATGAGGGGACGTCGGCGTATCTCCGGTGAGTCTCGAAAGTGTTGATGTGTTGTCTCCTGACGATTAATCGCTCAGAATTAATTTGTATCAATTTCCTTTGTTTCACGACATGTCATTTTTGTAACATTTGAACAGGTCCCGTCTGGACCTGTAATTTCTTGTGATTAAATCAAAAACTAAAACAAACTAACTGGTGATTTCTCTTACCCCGCGCTCTCCTTGAAAAGATTGAGCTAGCGTAAAATTAAATAAATTTTAGGTTTGAATATTTTTCCATAAAATATCTCTGGCGTTCGGGCATTAATTCAAACAACAAAGTAACGTGTGTTTTATTTAATTAGTTAATCCCGAGATAAACAAAAGTAAATTCTTGAAATAAAATAACCTTAATCAGAGTAATAAAATTAATAGTAATTTCTCAAATAATTAGAATAATAGTAAGACACCCGTTATAAATGGCGACCAACGTAGCGCGCGCGAGGAAATCACCATGATATTCGTGAAACAAAGTAAAATTTCGAATCGTGAAAAATAAATTCAAATGTTAAAGCTAAGAATTGATATTTTGAAATTAAACAAAATAAAATAAATCGAAAAAACAGAAAAATAAATAATTGTGAAAAATATTTCTTGGTCAAAATTCGAAAATTAAAAATTGTCCGTCAAGGACAAATCGAGTAAACAAAAATTAGTGCGTCACTAGGCCAACAACATGGCCCCGTGTATAATATCAATTCTTAGTAAATTCACTGAATGATTACAAAATTGAGAATCACAGTTGAAAGAAAATTTATTCTTTCAATAAATAAAATTTCTGAAATAAATAAATTGATAATTTAAATAAAATTGAACTTAAATATGGATAAATAAATAAAAATAAAAATTATTTTTTTTAATATTATTATTGGTGACAATTTGATAAGATGACATTTATTTGTTTATTATGTTTTTCTATTATGATGAAATATTTGTTCGTATGATTATTTTCTTGTGTAATGAAAATTCCTTGAAAATTTTCCTTAATTGGTCCGACTGCTCTGCAGTTTTGTAACGAGTTTAGTATCGATTAAAAATTTTATTTTTGTAATTTTTCTTGAACTCAAAATGATAAAAATTATTTTTTTTCTTATTATTTTGTTTATCGTAAATTAATATCACTGTAATAAACTAAAAAAAAAAAGATAAATAAATAAATAAATCTTGTGACATCACATCAGTGAATTAATTGAAAACAATATTTTCTTAAATTGACTTGTAATACAATTGGTCTAAGCTCTTTGGCAGAACGTCGCGAACCAATTCCTATCCATAAATCCCAATAAAAAGAAAAATTTTATTAATTTCGCGAATTAACTAAGAAGTAAATTTAAAAATGAATTCCCCAAATAATATCGGGTCAAATTTATTTGACAATTGGTCAGTTGACCAAATAAAAAATTATTTGGAGTCGTTTAAGGTTAATTCACACGGAACCCCTCAAACGCTGAGAGATCGTGCTTCGCGGTTTTTGCGTTTTTCCTCCGGTGATAGATCGGCGGAGTGGCTTCCTTCAGATGAAATTCAATTTGAATTAAGCCCTGTAAACACTGGTTCTGATTCATCAGAACAAGTACACAAAATAATTAAAAATCCTATTTATGAAGGAAATGCAATAGGTTTTTCAACTACGGTTTTGAGTACCCAGAATTCGCCTTTTCACACAATAACCACGACTAGTTCGATTCATTCTTTTGTAACGACATCATAACGTCATTACGTCATAACGTCATTCTTTTTGTAATGACATCGACTATTGAAAAACCAAAATTTGATTTTTCGTTGCCAAAATATTATGAAAATTTGACCGCGAAAATAGATGGCGCTTCTAGCGACGTCTCCGTAACACAATCGGGTTTAGAGTTTTTGACACCTTTACACACTGACGTAATTAAACAACCGATTAACAATTTTTCACATGACAAGTCAGCCTTTCGAACCCCATTGACTACAAATCGATCGGTTGGGACTATTCCTAAAGTCTCGACTGTTAACTGGTCCAATCCTGGCGAAACCTTTTGCCAGTATCCAGCCAGTTCGAAGCCTGGCCCAAAAATGGCGCTAGATAGCCCCAGGCAAGGGCCCGGTTTTGGCCAGCTAGTAGAGCGGGCTGAATCTAGTTCAAGTTTAATTGAACTAGAATCGAAAATTTCAAATAAACCAAAGCCCAGCGGTATCTCAGCAACCGTTGATGTTGACTCGCCCGTAAACAATATTGAAATAAATGTAAATGACGAAGATAATTCTAACTTTTTTAGACCAATCAGCAACCAGTGCGCAAATAACGCGACATTGAATTTTAATCATGCGCAGTCAAATGAAAATCCATTACAGAATCACCAGCTAGATTCTTTAGCTTCGAATCTCGCTCGTGAACGTATCGTGGCCCCATCTAGGAAGCCCCTAGATTCTATCGTTCGGAAATGGGGTATAAAATTTTCGGGAGATAGTAAGGTTAGCGTTGAGGATTTTCTTGAGCGTGTCGATGACGTCATGGAAATTTCCTCTGTCACCAGTGAAGAAGTCCTTCGCGCCGCGGTACTTTTGCTTGACGGAATCGCGCTTCAATGGTATAGGCAAAATAAATTCAAGTGGTCCTCTTGGGACCAATTTAAAGCTGCCTGTCGCGCTCGGTTCGGTGACGTGAATTATCAATGGCGACTCGAAGATCAGGTGACAAATAGAATCCAAGGCCCGGGTGAATCCACCGCGAATTATCTCACCTGCATGCAAGGATTGTATTGTAAATTTAACCGTGCCGTCACGAGTTCGGAAATGTTGGATAGAATTTACATGAACATGTTGCCGAGATTAAAACAATGTATCAAACGTCGCGAATTTAATAATTTAGAAGAGTTGTCTCTCATTGCATCTGACGTTGAACGTATGTACAGCTCACTCGCAGTTGAGAGAAAGCCTCAAAAACCGGAAGATTCGTTCTTCCCAGAATTTGCCTTTTCGGGTAATAGTAATGAAAATTCAGTAGCTTCGAATAATACCAAAGACTCAGACTCGTCAATCGATAAATTAGTAAACATGTTCAGCGCGATGACTGAACAAATTAATAAAATCTCGAGAGGAAACAAAAATTCCCCTTCAGAGTCAAATTTTAAGAAACAAAATAACTCGAGTAAACCGAATCAATTAAATAACAAGTCTAAGTCTCACCAGGCAAGTAACGGTAAAGGTAAAATTAAGCGTACAGAATTTCGGGAAGCGGTTCAACAACCACCGTGTTTTAATTGTCAAGCTAATGACCATTCGTGGGATAATTGTAAATTAGCTTGGAAAAAATTCTGCCACATTTGCGGTAAACCGGAATTCACCAAATATGACTGTAATTCAGATTACTGTCAGGGAAACTAGTTGAGGAGAGCAGCGCTAGGGTCGATGCTTCTCCTTGTTCGTTACCTAGGACCCTGACTAACAAGAAATCGGACATGAATTTAACTCTTAACGTAGAATCAGCATTTCCATCGCCCCATTCAAGTAAGGTAGTAATTGAAAATAAAATAAATTCTTTAACAAATAAATCTGAAATGAAAATAAACGATGAAAATAGTAAGTTTGGTAAGCTTCTGGTTGAGCCACCAGTAAATAAATCTGAATCAAGTTTAACCGATTCAGAAGTAACTTGTAAAATTTCAACTGACACAGTAAGTGTTCAGGAGAAAAATGAAAATAACTTAACTCTAGATTCGGACCCTATATTGGGCCTCGAGTCTTTTATTAACCTTGATAAATTGTGTGGAATCGGATCTCAATCGAGACCATACATTAAATTGTTAATTGGTGGTACTGAAGTACAAGCACTAGTTGACACTGGCTCGACTAGAACTTACTTGAATTCTATTGGTAGATCAATTGTTGAATCTAAAGGTAATAAAATAAATGAACTTGAATCGGGTCACGTAATGTTGGCCAATGGTACGATTGAAACAATCATTGGTGAGGCAATATTGCCTGTCACTATCGCGGGAGTGACTCGCGATTTAACAATTAAAGTTATTCCAGAGTTAACTGATCAATGCGTGTTAGGGATAGATTTCTTAACAAAATTTGGCGTAGTAATTGACACAAATCGGAGATTTGGTCAAGAAACCACTTCATGTCCTTTCCAGTAAACGCGATAACATAGCAAGTAAATTGGCCCCAGCCTTTCATGGCCCCTTTATGATAACCAAAATTATTTCTCGTAACATCTATGAATTGGCGTCAGTAGAAGGTCGTCTCGCGGGTAGATATCACGCTTCACACTTGCATCCCTATCATGCCGAGGACTTGAGCAGCGAATCTGAGGATTCGGAAGAAGAACGCATTTCGAATCGTGAATTGTTAGATATTAATTGGTCCGATACTGAATCTGAGTCCGCCCAGCCGGACCCAGTGGTTGATCCGATCATAGACGCGAACCCTGCATTCGAAGAGGAACGCGTTCACCGTCGTAAATTACGTAATCGGTCTTATTCTTACTAATTCACCTCTTCTCGGAATAATCTCGTTCTGCCAAAATTTCTGACCCTAATATTATTATCAGTTAACTAAATTTATTAAATCATTTGACAGAGGAGATATTGCTTGGTCCACGTCGACTGGACTATGAGGAGGAGGTTGATTGTTGGGTGACAGCTCGCCATTTGCTCACACGAGGACGTTTCCCCTATCAGGATTCCTTGTTTTCCGAGAGCGATTTGGAGGAAATTCGCCGCTCCATCGGCCAGGCTGTACCTATCCGCCTGTCACCGGAGGAGGAAATCTTCTTACCCAGGGTAGAGAGTCCAGAACCAGCCCCTCATGAAGATTGGGCCTTAAGGCCTCAATCAACCCCAAATAATTTGCCAGAAGCTGGCCCTTCACTTCACGGGCCCCAGCCGGCGTTGAAGAAATCCCTGGCCCAAAATCCAACTTACCCCAGGATTAATAAACCCAAATACTGGGGAGTGGATAAGGCTCGTCGGGGCATTTGTGGTAAATGCCACCAGCCAGGTCATGGTTACCTTTCATGTCCACGTCTCTCTGAACAGAGACCAACGACAAATTACCCGAACCATTCGGCAAATTAAAATTTTCTTGTACTAGCCCTTGTAGGGAGGGGAAATACCCTACTTTAGAATTAAATTTATTAATAATCTTATTTAACATGTTATTATTCTTGCTTTCGAAACCTAAATCCTTCCATAAAAATAATTAACTCCTTTTGATATGAAATCGACAAACTATATTCCATCATTTTGAATGTCACTTTAATTATTAACTTGAAACGTTCTCAATTGATTTTTTTTTTGTGAATTGATATTTGGTTTTTAATCGAATTAAATTAAAATTCTAATCACGGAAATGAAAAACTATAATTATAATATTAAATCTGATGACTATTGTGATCGATCGGTAATCTGACGGAGATGACTCGTTGAAGAGAGCTCATCGGTTCGCCTTCAAGCCCCCCCCCAGGTTCACCCTTGGCAGGAGGGAGTTGTAACGCGGCATTTTATTCGCCGCGTACAAATTAATAAATTTTGTCAATAATTGAATTCTAATCTTTTCTTATTCACGTCAAATCGAGAATCAACATTTATTTTCTCCTTCCGAGAATTATTCTCTTATTTATCCACTTTCGCAAAATGCATAGTTTCAAACCTGTAAAATAGCGAACCGTCAGATCGCTGGTCAACACAATTATTGTAAACATAAGAAAACTGATACTTCGATATTCTTTCATGTAAAACTTAACACCGCGAGTTCTTGACTTCTCATCGCCCGGATTACTGCCGAGATATTGCTCCGTATTCGTCCAACATGGGAAATGTTTCCTTACTTATTACTGGAAATAAATGCTGGTCATATTAATTGGCAGTAAAACTAATATCCATCGGCGAGGACATCAGCTGTCATAACACTGGCCGCAGCCATCTTGCGAACCAGTCGTCGTCGTGCAGTGCCCCTCGCGGAGACTAAGCGAACTTTTATGAACTCTTCTCGACAGTCGGTAATTTACCTAATTACTGACTGTTGCGCATCGATTACCATCGGAAAATCTATGTAACAAGTGCGCGTGGGACTCACCACGAAGTGGAGATGCGCGTCGACTTAGGCGTCCCCGTCGGCCATTTAATTGATTCTCGTTTTTGTCGTTGTATTGACAGGTCGCAGTAGACCACGTTCTTATAATAATTAAAATTTTATCTAATTGTGCACTCTTTCCTGGTGATAATGAGCCGTGGGACAATGAGGGGACGTCGGCGTATCTCCGGTGAGTCTCGAAAGTGTTGATGTGTTGTCTCCTGACGATTAATCGCTCAGAATTAATTTGTATCAATTTCCTTTGTTTCACGACATGTCATTTTTGTAACATTTGAACAGGTCCCGTCTGGACCTGTAATTTCTTGTGATTAAATCAAAAACTAAAACAAACTAACTGGTGATTTCTCTTACCCCGCGCTCTCCTTGAAAAGATTGAGCTAGCGTAAAATTAAATAAATTTTAGGTTTGAATATTTTTCCATAAAATATCTCTGGCGTTCGGGCATTAATTCAAACAACAAAGTAACGTGTGTTTTATTTAATTAGTTAATCCCGAGATAAACAAAAGTAAATTCTTGAAATAAAATAACCTTAATCAGAGTAATAAAATTAATAGTAATTTCTCAAATAATTAGAATAATAGTAAGACACCCGTTATAAAAGCAAAGCTCTTTTCCAAAGTTTGTCAAATGTTCCGGTGCGGTTTTATAGACCCACAGTCATTGTAGAGTGACTCTTCAGTTTTTACACATTTTATTGTATTTTTCTTTAATCAAATCGCGATTATCGTGCAAGTCAACTTTGTTTTTCACTTAAAAACAAGTTTCTTTCTGTAAAAGGTGCAAAAAAGGCAAATTGACACTTAAATTCAATAATTTTAACGTATTAACTGTCGTATTTTGCATATTAAGTTTTATTAATTGAAGTTTTTCACTAATTCTTTCTTTAATTGGCAATTCAGACCGAATTGTACTCAATTATCGTGCAAGTTGCTTTTCTCACACATAGAAACAAGTTTCTTTCCGTAATAGGTGAGAAGATATACAGGGGGGCTTCTGGACCAATTGGTATTAGTGCGTGTCTGTGTGAGCACGTGTGGGCGCATGATTTGACCTTGGAATCTGACATTGAAATTCTGATGCTGGGTGCGGGGTGCAAATTTTTGAAGGGGGTCATGGGTCATGAGCAAGATTGGGGGTGGCGGTTTATAGTATGATGGGGAAGGTCATTTGCAAAAAAATTTGTGTATATTTTAAAACCTTGTGCCATTGTTGGTTGGAAGAGGTGGAGTATTGTAGATAATTTATGGCTTATTTTTATGTGACATATATAATTAACGATGTGAAAAGAATGTATTTGTATTTCAGACGTGATTTTTGTAGAAATTGGATGATGGTCTTAAAGTTCTGATGATGGGTGTGGGTTAACGTGCAAAGTTTTGCGGTGGGGGAGGGAGAGGGGGGGGGGGGTATTTTCCGAGTTTCTTAACCTATTTTTATGTGACAAATAATTTACGATCTTAAAAAAATTACACGTTAATACATGATTTTAGTTTGATCGATGTGAGAGGAGGGGAGGGGGTAAACGCAAAAAATTTACTGTTTATGTGTAATACTGATTTTACTACCTTTTTTTTAAATAATTAAAAAATCAATTCCAAAAAATATTTTCTGGGTGTGGGTAGGGAGTGAGTGGAGGTGGGGGCTATATACATAAGATATTACTATTTTAACTCATGAAAAAAAAATTTGTTTGTGTTGAGACGTGTTTTTTGCGTGTGAAGAAGGGGTGGGGATATAAGGCATTAGTTTCGCGAGTTTAGTATTAGATTTTCAGTTGTAATTCATCCTGTGACTGTGACCAATGTTAGTTAACAAAGATCATAAGAAAGTTAAAGTGAGTGGACTTTTGAAAAGTATTGAAAGAAATAATAATTTACTACAATTTCGTCAAGATATTAAGTTGGTGACTGAAAATTTACGGAAACTTAAACTAATCGAAAAAGAAGAAAAAAATGGATTTCAATAAAATCAACAATGCAGCAAAAATGTTGCTTCCAATTAAATCTATGAAATCATTGAACGTCGGTGAAGTGCTTCATGTTTCAAATTTAAGAATTATTGACACAAGATATGGATAAAAAGTTATTATTGAGGTTGATAACCAATATATTGTACTTTTACCACAAATGATTTTAAAAGTTTTTCTTGACAACGAAGGTGAAGTTTTTGAGGACATGAAACAGCAGATTGAACATGGACAGGTGTACTTCAAATACTTGGGTGGTCAGTATAACCATTTTGAATTTTAATCATCATCTGACGCATAACCATTTTGAATTTCAATCATCAAACGCAAAATGGCTTATTTACAACGAAATCATTTAATACTTTCTACAACATATAACTTGAGTTAATCTTTTACTAAGCAAGTTGTCGTTAGTATTGCTGCAGACAATTTAAAAAATTTATCATTACAAGTACATTTAAATAGTAGCCATCCTCGAACAACCATAGCCTTATCACTAGATGAATGGGATTTCATGCAAAGCTATTTCACGGAAATGATGAAGTTCTTCGAACAAGAAATGGATCTGAGAACTTTTCAAACGGGTGATTTAATAATAAAATTTGTTATTTACTTGGGTCATCGTATGGTATTAATTTTTCGTACGGGTAATAATTCATCATCACAACCATTTTCAATTAGTGCATCTACGTTTGAAACTTTAGAAAATCTAATGGACTGTATTCAACAAAGTATATTGGATTCTGAAATTGTATCAGTGCAATATTATTCAAATTCTTGGACAGATAGTGTTTAAAAAAACTGCTCCGGACGTAAAAACTGTTGAAAATTGTATCAAGAAAAACTTTGGTTTAATAAAAGGAGCTTTAGTTAATAGAAATCATTATTCTGTTAATATTGCTCGATTGTTTTCTGATCTTTGTACATTTTATTTAAAAAAATTATGTGAACAAGTTGTATATATTCTACCATCGTTGCAAATGATTGGACATTCTATTATGTAAAAGAAAAAAAGTGTACTGATGTGTTCTTAATAATAATAATAATAATAATAATAAATTGTGAAAAAAAGAAACTAATTTTATATTCTTTATTCTATTATTTTTGCTTTAAAAAATTATTTTCAGGTTTAAGGAAGAGGATATGGAAAAAAAAGTTAACACATTTATAAATTTGTTAAAAAAATAAATTCTTATTTTATTAATTTCTTTACATAGAATTTATCCAACTATTGTGAGAATTTTCAAAACCTAACCATTTTACAAACAATTTATTTCCTCGTTTCTTAATTACTTTTTCAACTAAATAAATGTCTGGATTATTGGCTGGAGAAAGTTCTTCTTGATAAAAACTACTAGATAAAGGATTATTTTGATAATCTTTTAACAGGTTGATGGTTGAGTATTATTTACATGATAAATGGTAAAGACTTCTGTTGTATAATTTGGTGTATAGCCTTTTTCAAAAATATGTTTCTGTTTACTGATGCGTACCTTATCACCAATTTTAAATTTTATTTTAACAATAGACGACTTTACAGTAAATTTTTTTATATACATTGAATAAGATTTTACGTTCATTTTTTTTTGCTTACATTTTTTGGTATTATTTTAATAGTACGATGCACAGTATTATTATAAGAGAAAATTAAATCTTGTAAAATATACAACCATTTATAAGTACCTTGTAAACTAAATTGCATCCACATTTTATTTTTTAAAGTACGATTAAATCGTTCACAAATTGATGCTTTTAAATTACTGAACGTAGAGTACATATTTATTTTATAATTTTTCATGAGGTTTTTAAATTGTGCATTGTAGAATTCTTTTCCTTGATCCACATGTAAATTTTTGGGCACACGACCTTGTTTCAACACTGACTTCATTGCAGCTGTAACATCTTCACCAGTTTTATTCTTAACAGGAACAGCCCAAGCAAATTTAGAAAAATTATCGATGACAGTTAAGATATAGTTGAATCCCTTGTTTTGTTTAGAATATTGCAACATTTCC